GGGTCACGCGACCGGTAGAGTAAGGACGGCGGGGAAACATGGCGGTGCCCCGGTGAGTGAGCGCCGCTCGCTTTGGAGCTGATACGTCGTCGTAGCTGCAGTAGCGGGCGGGCGCGTTGGTGAGCAATGAATTGTGCAGGAGGTTTTCGCGTTGCCTTACCTCACTTAAAACGCAAAACATGAGCAATGATCTCGCCGCATTTTTTAGATAGACTTTCGACTCTGGCCATACCTAAGCCTAAATGAACGCTATAGTTGTCGGCATGGCAACGTCTTCGGAAAGCGAATTGCCTTGACTCAATCGGCGAGGTGTTGATAGCACACAAAAGCAGAGAGCGTTCCCATAGACCTTTTGCTTCAATTTCAAAAGCACCGAGGTGCATGCTACGAGTGTAGTTACACGCGCTGCACCTGCTGGCGTCTGCAGTGATAACTGTTCTGAAGCAAAAAGCTGAAACAAATTTTCCCGTGCACGGGCATTGGTCGAAGATTTATTATGATTATTTACTTCAAATCTTTTATAAGTGGAAGGCCAGCACGCGCGGATCGTAGAATTACACTTCCAGCATTCTTCTCGATGTCAGGGTAATTTACTAATAGGTCCAATTTCAGTGGAGCTGAATTACAAGTTTTTCAATTTATGACGGTCTTATATACAGTTCTTACATGCTGGCCAACCATGCTGCCAGTGTACCGCCCGCCTTTCACTGCTCACTTCTTTCTCATCGTTTCTAGGACTGAAGTTCGTCGTCCTCTTTCAAACTCGGAAGGAAATTTCAGCGAGGCTTGTCTTCACTTCAGACAGCCAAATATTTAGAAAATTTTCAAACGAGGGCTAATTTAGTTTTATCTTGCCGATTATTTGTACCACGAGCAATAAAAATTGTTTCTTAAGCTCAAATGTATGCCGCGCTGCGTCGCGAAAACCAGGCAGCGTGCATTTTTGGGTCCCCCCCCTTTCGGGAACCTTTCCAGGGAGCCACGTATATTCGCTACAGCCAGTAGGTGACACCAGCTACCACCCCATAATAAAACACGGAGCTATCGCTCATCCAGCCCTCGTCAAACTTGGCTAGGTACTTGTAGGTACCTAGTGGGGAAGGATGGTTAACTTTTAGCCGCGGTTAAAGTTAACCGGCTTCGAGCGAACGGGCCCTGGTGAGATCACTTAATTATCACGTCTGTCGCATTCCTCCGTGCCCCCTCTCACCAGCCCGCACGCGTAGAGCTTCTCTGCTTTGCACCGGAGTGCTAGGCGCAGTGGCTGACATGGGTGAGCGCCTAGGTTAGTGTGATGGGCTCAGTAATTACGCTCAGTACTATTCCAGGTTTACTTTTTTTGTCTTTGTAGTAGCTGATGCCAATTTTAAAATCTGCACCGAGAAAACAAAAAATGTGGGTCTATATTTGAATCAATGGTAGTCAAGGTTCTTCCCGTGCAGCTGTTGATTAAAAGAACGACCAACTTTGACTTCACTTTAGTTCTAATGCTGCTGAAAAGCAGTGTCACTTGCACAAGTGTAGGTTTTCATAATATTTGGGAGCGGTTGTTTTGGCAGTTCATAATATTAAAGTCTTAAGTTTGGTAGGTTCATAAAAGTTACTAGTTCGACGTCCACACTCTATATGTTTCTAAATATAATTGTGCCGTCCGTGACGCCACTTTTTGAAGATGTGAAAGTATTTTAAAAATCATTTTGACATCTCCCGTCGACATATTTGTTTCTCCTTACTATGACATCTCTACTTAGAACTTTGGAGCTTCGGAGTTCGGACTGGAAAAAGATTGAAAGTGGCGGCCAAACAAATATCCTCTTGCTCGCTGGTGGCGTCATGGTTCAGAACTCATTTTCCGAAAAGAAATGTGCAGTCGACTGCAGTTTTTATGACCTTTTAAGTGATGTGGAATGGAAAAAAAACTTCTCAAGGTATATCAGCTATCAGGCCGCAAGCAACATTTGCTTGGTTGTGCCCAACATTACAGAACGCACCATCGTTGCTTTTCACTATATATTTCACGTGTTTCATACAGACGAAGGAGCTGAATGTCTTGTTATAAAATTTGCTGTTGATTGGAAAATGTGTGCATCTCGTACAACTGCACCAGAACCTTTGTTCGTTTGCCCCGGTCAAGAAACATCAAGGAGGCAATGTTTGCATTTACAACCTTTTATTTATCATCCCAATTGTTTCGTAGTTGATCTGCTCGTTATATAGGAACCAGAAGAAAAATTTTGAACTAAACAATGAACTCTCAAACCCCGGTGAAAAACATGGCGGCAGCCAGATGCAAAGCAAGACTGCAACCATACGAAGACGCGCTCGCATGATATGAAGGCACAAAAGCATGCCAAATTTCTCAGTGTTGCATAGTGTATACACTTACATTTGTTATGTGCAGTCAGGATAAAGATATCCAGCTTGTCTTCATTGCAGATCTAAAATTTTAAGTGAGACGCATGCCGAAATGACGTGCGAGAGCTCGGAACATTGTCACTGGGCATGTCATTTCCGAAAAGACCAACTGTCGAGCCAGTCCCACACACACGCTCCCACACACACGCTGAATAAGACATTTCCACTGCAACTAGGACCAAAACTTCTTAGGCACGCAGCACATGACCCCATCAACACTGTCAGAAACTAAACAGGACGAAACCAACAAAACCATGAAATGGCTACCAGTGACGACTGCATTGACAGGGTATGTTGAAGTAAGAAAGCTATCCTGACGTTTTACAAAAATGGTGTCATTAGCATTGAAATAATTTTTGAAATATTTTGGCGGTGGACGTTGAAATAGTCGCTGCCTAAATTCATAATACTTGGGGGACGCATTTTTGTTGATAGACGAGCTGGTTTTTGCAGACATTTTACAGAACTTATATATACAGGCTTAATAGACTACCAGCTGTAAAAGTGAAAGGGCAGAGAAGCTTTATCCCAGCTGAAGTGTTGCACTATGATTCATTTTTCATAAATATTTTAGTACCCATTGGAAATGGAACCTTCTCTGACTAGAGCCTTATTTCTAAGGAAGAATGCTCTGTGTACCCTTGGTGCCCTATCTATTCTTACCACAAAAGGTAATAAGTAATATGCTCAAGTATCAAAAAGTAACCCTTAGTTATTATCAAAAATGAACTCATTTAGCAATGCAATCACTTTTTTTTATTTTAAGTGATATGCTAACAGATGTTGGAATCTGCTTCAAAAGGATCAGTTACTGCTTCAAGCCAACATTTTGCCTGCTACAGAACCTGCTACAAAAGGTCAAATGCTGCTTTCATTACTGCATGCATTCTCTTGATAGACTAAAAAAAAAAAAATCTATCGAGGTTGCAGCAGCTTTTTTCTTTGATACACATTCCTTCCAAACCAAATACATTTAGATGCTAGATTTCCAAGCTTATTCCAGATGTGCATCCAGCAACTGGACCTTGGGTGAGATGGACTGGGAGGGGAAATTGCGATGTTCAGGAGGACTCGGTGGATGCATCTTGTACTTGACTTGCTCACACGTGGCTATTAAAAAAGGAGAAAGCACACATTATCCAATTATTTCTAGCTAGAGGTGATTCTCTGTCACTGCTGCATGCAGTTCGATCTTGTTCTTCAAAGATGGGCGTAGTAGAATGACAGTTCCATCCCCTTTCGAAAGATTCACTGCTCATCTTGCTTATCTTGTAGCATTGGACTTTTACGAGATAAGATTTTGAAGACTTCTTTGTCACCCACATTCTTTTATGTTCCTCAAGCCAGTCAGTCACCCTTCATATTTAGGTTCTTAGGTTATCTAGTGTTTGGAAAGGTCACTATGTTTCGTCTGTCAATCAATTTTAAGTTGATTAATGTTTCTGTGAAGCTTTAGAACTGTACAAGATGAAATATTGGTGGGTTTTTGTTGCCCCTGTTTTAGTTTTTTCAGCATCAGGTTTTTCACCTTGAATGCATTGTCTATACCAGTTGTTTATTTTGTGAGACGTTTTCCGGTGCAAGTGCAAGTGCTCAGAACAACTCTTGTCCTCAATATTTCGACTCTTTCAAATGTTGTTTTCTGGCAGACGGAGAAGGTTCAACTGATTATTGTAAGGATATATATCGGCTCTGGATTGTATCATGGTACCAGGTGTAGCGATACAGAGAAACAAATACAAATGTATTTCTGGACTATTATCCTGGTACTGCTCCCCGATTCATACCATCATTGCATGAACAGATGTAAAGTTGCCCCACATGTTCTAAAATCTAACATGAAGCTTAGGGCTGCTCCTATATTCTGAAGGGAGTGGTGCACAGATCTAGAAAAATATGCTCACAACGTTTTATATTTACTAATTGCCACCATCCACAATTATGAGAGTAACTACCCCATGCACATTGGTCAGTCCTTGCTGTTGCTTTCACTGACAGATGACTAGACTAGCTGGTCAGGCATGTTGTGCCATATAAATACTTTGTTGGAACATTATTAGTGCTGATGGGACAACCAATGTCAAAATTTTGTGACCTCCAAAATAGCCAGATTTATACTGTTCTAAAAATTTCAGCTTGCGGCACCTCAGTTGCTAATAGTTTGAGACTGATCAAGTATGTTGTCATGTGGTGAGTGATTATAAATAAGGAAGTCTAGAGCTTACGCCATTCACACGCAGGAATGGGTGATCGCCCTTCTAGACATTTCAGATATTTCAAGTGAGCAATTTGGGGGGAAAGGGAGAGAAATTGCCCTCCCCTTGCTTCCCCACCACCGAACACTTCCGACGCCCCTGAATCTGTTTATTAGGTTTACGATTTGTTTAAGTAAGTCTTGGCTAGGGTGAGACCTGTTTCGGGAACAGGGGTCTTACAAAGATGGGCCGTGCCCTGCTCTCCTCAGTTGTCTGGGGTTGTTGTTTTAAGCACGTGAACAAGTTTGGGACTTCCGCCTCCTTGAGTTTGTTTTGCACTTGCTGTTGGGGAACTGACCCTATGTACTTGCCTCGTTGTCCATGTTGCAGGCAGAGTGTGGCATGCACTGACCCAGCGGCGGCGGCAGGATGTCTGGCCTGGAGCAGTTCCTGCCCCAGCTGGGCAGCCAGGACAACAAGAAGCGGCTGCAGCTGGGCCTGACCATGCTCTCCTTCCTCGAGGAGAACCCGGACCTGCAGCTGGACTGCGAGGAGGTCGGACCCCTCGTAGACCCCCTCGTCGCCTGGCTCAACAGCTCAAACTCCAAGGTCAGAGCCTGCCCCTTCCGCCCTCTCTCTTGTAGTGTGCTTTGGGCACGTTGGCAGCGGCAGTGGCCTAAGCTGTAAAGAGTTGTGACCGTGAATACTCTGTCCTAGAAAAGTGCCGATGTCCTATTCACGCTAACAATGTCTTACAGCGTACATTCCCAGAACGTCCATGCAATGTTAAGACATCCCAAGGACGTCCATTTAACCAGAATGCTCGTCTGTGATGCTATGCTGCTTTTCGTGGTTGCTTTTCAAGTAGTCTGTAGTAATTTTCAAGGCTTTTCTCGAGTCCTACATATTCATGAGTCGGTAAGCTAAATGGGTTCTGAATTTTAAATAAAAGAAGCTTTAATAGCTGTTCCAATTTGTTGGTCATTGGTGGTTTCCTGAATTAATTTTTAAAAAGGATTGAGGATCAATTTGACTAAATTGGGGCTGGAAGAGCTACTTCGAAAGAAATGACTGTAGCACATTTGCTGAACACACCACTTTTAGTGTGCCATACTTTTAGTGTGCCACTGAATACACCACTTTTAGTGTGCCATAGATCTGTGAGGAATGATGTTGTGTTGCACACCATCATTTGAAGACGCTAAATGGAACTTCTTTGCATGTTGCAATTTCTGTTTATAAGGTATTCATACAAGTAGTTCAAAGGCAAACTCCAAGCATGGATCCATTCGAGCTTACAGGAGGTTGCAGAAATGTTCTATTCATGTTTTCAGAACTTTGGCGAAATTGTCACGGTGTTGGGACACATAATTACGGTGACATCCCAAGATTTCTGACAAAATGAAGTTGGTACATAAGTGTAGGTTATTGGTTTTATTATAAGCAGGATTCATGAGGGAGCTACCTAATTTACCATCATCCAAGTTTTGTCCTTAAAAAATCACATTGAATACAAGTGGTATGTAAATCATAAGGTTTTTAATTATCTTTCTTCCCTGCCATTCAATCTTTGTCATAAAATTTGATTTTCTTATGCATTATTTGTGACCCACATTTAAGAAGGAACGTGAAAGTTTGGCCAGTGAAATTAATAATAGTCTAAAAATATTAATTTTCACTGGAATGGGCCCTCTTGAAGAAAATAAAACCATTAATTAAATATTGAAGAAACTGCAGATTTACAGATCAATAATCTCCCTGCTAAAGATAAATGAAAAAAGAAACAGTAAAATTTGTTTTTCAGGAAACCAATGGATGTGCATTGCATGGAACTGAACAAAATTACTTCCCCCAACTTGTTACATGCTTTAATGCAGTCTGTGCATCAATGAAGAAACTTTTTTTATGTACTGTTTGTGTGCCATAGGCTGTATATTTCTGATATAAATAGTTTTTTTTTGTATTTGTTAATCATTAATCATATGAACGGTAAGCAACATATTTCTATGATGGATTACAGATGTTGGTTGATTCCAGGAAAGGAAAATGCTATTCTAACTTTCTTTTAAAAATGCTCATTTTTTTTTTCCATGCAGGTGGTGTTGACAGTTCAATTCCTTGGTTCATTTATTCTTCATTATGGGGTTTTCTTTGCAGCTTGGCTATTGCCTAACCCTGCACCATATGTTTGTGCACTTTAGTTCTTGTCTTGTCTCTCTGCTTGTATGATAATAAATAACTAATACTTGGTCTTACATCGATAGCATCTTTTTTTAACAGAAATATGAAAAAAAAAATGTATTTTTTCTAGGTCGCCCAAAATGGCCTTGAGATTTTATCTCTCCTGGCGGAGAAGTTGAAGGAGGACTTCCGTCCATACATCTCCACAGGTTGGTTGGTCCCTTTCGTTTTTATATTTTAACTCACCTTGGTATACCTACTTTGCATAAAGCCAACTCACGTGGAATGTGTTGCATGTTTGTGTCGACCTGTTTTGATCTATTTGGACCTGTTTAGTTTATTTTTCTCAATTGGCTTTTGAGATAATCTGTAAGCGATGCCGACCCAAACACATGATGCTTTCTAGGCCAGTTGATTTAGGCAGGTTCAAATTTATCTTCTTCTTGAACGTATGACTATGGTTATGCGACGTCCTGTGAAGTCATATGATGTGTTCATGCGACTGGTATTACGTAAGTCATGTGGCTTGATCTCATAACTCTGGTGGATCATGTGATGCATGTAGTGGTCACACGATCACATACTAGTTATATGTAATCGTGCAACCTTTTGTGATTATAAAATCACGTGACGTCACATAACCCCTCCCAACATTAGTTTTTGTAGGAGCACAAGTACGTCATAATCATTTATTAAACCAGTAAGACCTTACGGGCATTACACGAGCTGGGGGTACAGGCTGTACAATGTTGTTATATAATTCAAGAAAGAGAAAAAACAAACACTCAAACACTTTTAGAGAAAAAACAGCTAATTAGGCAGAAAGAAATACACAAATAAATCATTCTACAAACACAAATCGATTTTGCTATTAGTGCAACTGCAAATGGGTGGTTAGTTGGGATATAAATGAGTTATAATCTGTCTGGGTCACAATACTGTTAGGCAGTTTATTCTAGTCTGGTATTGTTAATGGCAAGGTGGAGTTAAGAAACGAGACCGATGAAACGAAAATTGGACGGACTTTAAAGAGGTTATTATTGCGAGGAATATGCAAGTGGGTGGGAGTAACAATGAAGTTCAGATGTCATGGTTATGACAGTTAATCTTGTGAAAAAGAGACAGGCACAATAACATTCTTCTAGACGAGAGCAGATCAAGGTTAGGTTTCATCCGTAACAAAGTAATGCTGGTGTCTTGCGAGTATTCCAAAAATATGAATCTGAATGGCGTGAGTTTGGAGTGCCTCTATGATTGTTATCAATGAGTGTTGCCAAGGGGACCAGATGGATGACACATTCAAGTTGTGATCTTACGTGTGTAGCTAGTTGTAAAACAGATGATGGAGCTAGTTTTAGATTCCGTCGAAGATATTCAAGAGAGAGGTTTGCATTAGACAGGATGTGTGTTATATGCATGTTTTACAAGAGTTCATCAGATAACTGAACGCCAAGATATTTGTAAGGTAGACACATGGTGATTACTTGGCTGCACATCGTGTGGAAAAAAGAGAGAAGACTATGAGCATGCGTAAAGGAAACAAATTGTGTTTTAGAAGAGTTTATTGACATTTTTGAAGTTTTACATCAGTTGGCTGTTAGGTTAAGTTTGGCTTGTAAGGTTATGTTATCATCCGGGTCACATACGGATCGGTAAATTATGCAGTTGTCTGCAAAGAGTCGAATACAGGATGTGACCTGATCAAGGAGGTCATTTACAAATATTAAAAAAAGCAGAAAGCCAAGAACACTGCCTTGAGGGACTCCTCATGATGCAGGAGAATAAGATGATGAGTAATTGTTAGTTACAGTGTGCTGAGTATGATTGGTTAAATATTGTCCACCCCATGATGTTGTGGATGGATGGATGGATGTGAGGTTGCTTTAATTTGAACATGAGTAAACGATGGAATACCTTATCGAATGCCTTAGAAACATCATTGAATATGGCGTCAGTCTGTATGTTATTTTTGATGATGCTGTGTATTTAATGAGCAAGTTTGACTACCTAGTTGTGTTCCAGAAGAGAATGATTGTCTGAACCCGTGTTGGTTTGGAAAAAGGATGTGGTTATTTTTTACATGCTTCATGACATTTGAATATAGGATAATAGTTTGATGGTAGAGTTTGATTGCCTGATTTGTGTATAGGGACCACACTGCCAATTTTCCAGCCTGTAGGGAGTTTGCCAGAAGACAAAGATTGCTAGACTATAATTAACAGAAAACGGGCTGAGTGTGATTTGGTGTTTTTTAGTAATTTGGAGTTAATTTTTGTTGCCCCAGAATTGGAAGAGAACTGTAGCCTTTCTATTGAGCTTATGATACCTGAGTAAGTTATTTCAGTGGCAGCCATGGGAGGGTAACAAAAGTTCTTAAGATGAGGCAAGCTACTGTGGTCATCTGTCATAGACTGAGGTGAAGTAATGGTGCTTAGTTCGTCCAATAATGGCAACTGATCATCGCTTATTAGTTTTACAGGTTCAGGAATTTTTGGATAAATTACTTTCCAGATCTTTTTAGGTTTATTGCAAAGAATGTTTACAAAGTTAGTGTTAAAAAATTTTGCCTTTGCCTCTGTAATGATTTTTTTGTAGTATTAGCAATAGCATTGTACCATCCCAAGGTTAGATCAATGGTCTGTTGTTTAGCATGGCTAAACAGTCTTTTCTTTTTTTGTGTTAAGTCTGTGAAGCACTTTTGTAATCTGGGGATTTGATTTGTCATATGTTATCTTAATTGTTGGGGCGTGTCAGCAAGTTGCGAGAGTTTATTTCTGATTAGAATCGAGTTTTTATTGGCTGTCCTGCTCATTCTATGGGTTCATCTGGTAGGTTGGATAATCATCTGTGATAAATTAAATCTAAGGCAGGTGTCTACAAGTGCTCCTGAAATGTGATTTGAGCATGAATGAGTATCCCAAATTATATTGGGACAATTGAAGTCGCCTAAGAGAATGCATGATGCGTTCAGGAATTGGTTGAAAATAAAGGAAAGTGCACCGTGAAGCTTTTCAGAAAACCCATTAACGAAGTCAGGTGGTCTATTGCACACTCCAAGGAAAATGCAGCCGTAACCATCCATTTCAAGGCACATAGAAATTTGAACAAAAAAACCCACAATACGATTTCACACAACAACTTCACCACTACGTTCGGGACTCCCTCTATCACACCTATAAATATTGTAATTCAAGGGAGAGGGAAGCACTTCAGAGACTTGTCTTGTCTTGGCCATGTTTCTGTTAAGAAAACAACGTTGGCCCCAGGTAAAGGTGTTCACGGTTTGTCAGTACACTTCTTACATTAATATAAAGTTAATATAAAGTATGGAATAAGACAAAAAAAAAAAAAAATTCGAATTTGAGGACACTAAGATGAGTCAATTACACAGGTCCTACGGTTGCTTATCTTCCACAACACTCGCTTTCAGGACCATAAACAAAAATTTGTGTTCCAATAAAAGGCCCAATAAATTTGAGTTTAAACGGTTTATTTCGTAGTCTGGCAAATCGTAGGAGTTCTCGACGCGCTTCTTGTATGGCAGTAGGAAAGTCTTTGCTCACGGCAAATATGGTACCTTTAAAATTGTAAGCTTTCCCTGGGGTTAGGTCCTTTTGCTTTGCTGAGCAGAATTTTACAGTGACAGGGCATTTCTTATCGGGGCTGAAACGACCGATCCCGTGGGCACATTCAGTGCTGCCGAACTGTAGTGATAGGCTAAGTTGTGCGGAGCAGATATCGAGAGCAAGCTTTTTCTTTCTCGGCCCAGGTCTCTCCCTCTTCGTCTGAGTAGCCATAAAAAAGCAAGTTGGAGCGCCGCTGCCTGTTCTTGTTATCCTCGCAACATGACCCAGAATGGTCAACTCATGCCTGACATGTGACAGCGCTTGATTAACTGCAGCAATTTCTTTTTTCACATCCATTACGACGGTTGTGTATGTCTCGAGAGACATAGCAGCTCTGACGACGCTCGTAACGAGCCTCCCCGCTGGTGCAGGGCTAGAACAACAGACTGTGGAACGAGGGGTCTGGCGCTTCTGGCCAGGGATGAAATGTCCTTTGTGAAGACACCGGTGGACACTGAGAGAGTCTAGGCTGTGTTATCACGCTTTCTTAACAACTTTCTACGATGCTTTAGACTTGGGAACGGACCCCAAATGCATTCTGCATTCAAGTTTGGTGTCTAGTTGCGACACTCTTGTCTGCTCTCCTTCTCTTCATCCGTGTGTTGTGAGTACTTGGAGACATGTACTGAAATTTGACCGAATTGTTTTCATGTTCAATTTTAGTGATTCCTGCTGCTGTTGACAGGATGGGGGACAGCAAAGACTCGGTGAGTGCTCATGCTTGGGCAGGTCAAATATTAGATTGGGATGTCCTGAATTTTCTTTTTTTTTTCTTACCTTGTCTGAACTGTTTCAGGTTCGAGAGCACGCAAAGAACTTCACGATGAAACTGATGGCAGCATCGTCACCGCAGGTAAGCGTACCTGATGTCGTATTGATGTCTGCCAAGGGGCCTATGTGGGAAAATGAATAATATTTGGTATGATTAGTTTAATAATTACTTCCGAGTATTTAACTTCTTAATTAGTAAATTTAAAGGTATAGTTTCAGTTATAAAAAATTACTGGGTCTTGTCAGAAACCATTAATTTAACTCGGTTTAGGACGACAAAAGGAATATACAGCATTTTCAACGTTTCGAAAGAAACATTTCATTTGGACGCGCTTCTATACACCTTTCCAAAAAACACTCGACCCCAGGGGCAACAAACCGCTTTCGAGCCCAGTCACTGAGTTTGAGGCTAGACTCTCACCGGCGTCCCTCCTAACCCTAATTGAGTGGACTGTGATTTCAATAGGCGCAGCCTGCGTAGGCGCAGTTCCAAACGCTGCTGGCGGCTAAATTCTCGTCTTTTCCCGCTATATTTTGTGTTTCATGGGTCATGTATTTTCCCAAGGACATTAAGAAAGTATTGTGCCACATTAAAAAAAAAAGACATCTATTTTTGTTGGGTACGCGCGCGACAGAACAAATGCGAATGGAATGTATAGTTCTAGTTATTTGTTTTTTTCTTACGATAAGTTTTGACGGCGCCGCGGGATTCGCCGCTTGTGAAACGACAAAGCGCTTTGCTGACAAAAATAAATTGCAACAGAAAAGGGCCGAAAGACATGCATTTTTCACGCTCACAAATAACGTGTTTACCGATGGACAGGACACGGACATCCAATTGAGGAAGTGTTAACATTCGAACAATATATCGTACGTACCACATGATGCAGCGTTATCCGAAAAGAATTTATTTGAGAAAGATCTCAAATAACACAGTCACAGTCGACGACAGTCACATCTTGACGATCGGACGGAATCCGAGATGACTTCGTTTTGGGGCACGTTTTGGGGCACGTTTTGGGGAGAGCTTCCTTTTTTCACAACCGCACCAAGGCAAAGAAACAAACGCGACTGACCCGTTTCTCACCCCAACCCGGACAACTATTTTTGGATATGACTGAGGATTCTACGCGGATTATCTCTGGGAGGGGGGAGAACAATGTTCGCAAAATCGCGTCGAGGGTTGTTCGACGTCCTTCACCTCCTTCGTTTCCCGTGAATGCCGAGCAGAAAAGCTTGAATGGCAGGCACTTACCTGCCTTATTTCTCACAATGGAAGATAACACAGAAAGGGTACGCAGCACGCATAAAAAAAATTAAGTGGAAACTTGCAAGAGGGGCGAGAAAACGTCGAATGCAAAACCGCAAAAACGTAGGTAGAGAACCGCACTGAGCGGGTCTTCACAGTCCCAGAGGGTGGCAGAAAATTTCTAGCTGATAGAGGGCGCGAGAGTCGCACCAGCCGCATCAGCATCAGCAACATGGCGGCGGCCTAGAAGCGTTTTTTGGAAAGGTGTATAGTCGCTGACAATTTAAAGCTTGACGTGCAAAAATAAATTCTTCCTGGCAGAAGATTTCTCTTCTTTTCTTCGTTTCCTGCTCCAATTTTCTTCTCACTTCTTAACGTCCTTCTCGCATGCTAAGCGTCTAAGCGGTTTATAACCCCCCAAACCTGAACAATGGGGATTAGCACATAAAGTGGTTGTTGCTATCGGTTGACTCAGATTTGTGGATCGGTCTTCGGGCTATTCTGCAACGGGCTCACGACTTTCTTTTTGGGAGGGGCGATACTCCTTTCATTCCTAAGCTGACAGTATGGTGGAAGCTACATGCTCATCAGATCAGTCCTATGTCTATCTTTGGCCACATGATTATGCTTCTGTGCTTGCACATGTGCAGGGAGCAAAGTCAGGTGACGAAAGGGAGGCGGTTGATTGGTCTGGCGAGCACTTCAGGGGTCAACGGAGATTTTTCTTCTTTTTCTTTTTATAGGGCCTGCCGCATTGAGCTGCTAATTCTGTATTCTTATTTTTTTTTTTTATGTGCCAAGCTAAGTTTTGGCGGCACGGTGTATGTTCAAGAGTGCAGATACCTCGCCAACAAATGGTAACGACTCGCATGTAGTGACGCGAAACTATCGATAGTATTATTAATATTGTCGATAGTCGAAGCCAAATTTAACTATTGAGAGTGAAAAAACTATCGATAATGCTATAGATAGTCGACTATTGTGTACCTTTATTGCATACTATCAATAGTCGACTATTGTGAAATTGTTTATAGTCGAATATCCAGAAACTATCTATGTCCAACTATCGTAATGCTATTGATGGGGTTTTATTAGTTGACGGGCGAAGAACGCCAAGGAAATGTCGTGTAGCGCTGAGAAAAAAACAACTCCAATTAGTGACTTCCGCATAAATGGCGAGGAAAAATCTAAAACCTATTGAAAAACAATCACAAAACGGTAGAAATCATTTTTAGGGACTATTGGCAATAAACTATTAAAATATCTATTGTATACTATTTAAAAACTATAAATAAAAGATATCAACTTGATAGGTTGTCGAAGTTTTTTTGCTCTTTTAGATTGCTTTCTGGGGTGTGCCCTTTGCTTCTTATGCACTCAATCAGCTGTTTCCTCTCATAAGTACAGAGTGTTTTTTAAAGCTTTACAGATTTGTCGTGAAAATGGACATATGATTCCAATCAGAAACTTACTGAGCGTCATCGAAAACCTCTAAATTAACTTTTTTTAGAACGACTTGAAGCCCGTGGGAAAGTCGGCGCACAAAAGTTACCACTTGTGCAGCAGGCTCAAAGCTAGCCCTGGCAAAACTCGGATGATTAGATTATCATCGCGTTCCGCCACTGCTAGCTTTGCACCTGCTGCACAAGTAACAACTTGGGTGCCCCTCCCCCTCCAAGAGAAAATAGTACCCGTGTATTTCTCTTGCTGCGCGTCTACTAAGACATCTGGCCATCTAAAACTGCTAATTTTATTGATTTTTATTGCCCAACAAAACAATATGCCATCAAAAAATGGCTTCTACAAACAGCACTTGAGTGCACTTTTAAGAGTGGAGTGGAAGCTGCTTTCCACTTTAGCAGAGTAAACCCTGGAGAAGAGGTGATCTCCTCTCTAGCTTTCAAGTTGCTAAAGTGGAGAGAGAGGTGGGAGGAGCTTCCACTTTGTTCTTGACCTGTCACCGACTATAGCTTTCGGTTTCCTATCGAAGCGCATCTTTGTGCCACTAGTCCTGCTCTCTTTGGCCAAAGCGCAATGTCTTTGCACCATGCACATTCTTCACGGGACAGGTGAACCCAAGAATCGAAGCTTATCCTTGCAATGTCACTTGGACAGCACATTGTTCCATTTCACTGGCGAGCAACACAATTTCTTCTCTCCTAGGAGAGAGGCAAGGTGGTGATTGTATGGCTTGTCCACAAGGGGCGGAACCACTGGTGCAGGAGTGCATTCTTATAGTAAAGCGATACTTGAAAATATATCCAAACGGAGTTTTTTTGGGATGCCATAAAATGCTGCACTGTCTAGTTTTTTTTTTTGTAAAGTGGGCTGGGATTTAGTGGTTTAGGATGATACTGAGAAAGTTTCCAATTGAAACTATACTTTAAAATGGAAGCATCATAAAGCTGATTACTATATGGGAGTAGTAATAATTAAACTAATTACGTTGAACATAAATTATTCTACCAAATAGGTAAGGTACTTTGGCAGAAATCAATATGATGTTAGCCTTTTTTTGTGTGTGATGCATACTTTTCACAGGAACGATTTGGCCAGCCTTCCGAGAAACAGCCTGTACAGTAAACGCCTTGTGCTACTGGGTCTGAATAAATTGCAAACGGCAAAGCGCATGGCCTTCGATACATCCTGAGAGGGAGGCTGCAAAGGCGTACACTTAATCCGACGTGCACTCCTGTGGAGCCCCCTTATCCACTCTCCAGTTCATTCAGTTCCTAGGGGCCTCCAGGTAGCATAGCATGTATCGAAGGTCACACCTCAGCGTTCGCATTTCGTTTTTACCCGCTACCAACCCAATTGCCAATGCCTGAACCAGGAAGTGGGAAGTAATACTGCTTGTGATCAGTGTGCCATTCTTGAATTAAGCCAACAAACGTTCAACTCGAGCAGCCCTTTACTGTGGAACCCCGATTATGCACCCCCGGTTTATGCCCTGTCCCGCATTTTACGACAGTTTGGCATGGGCTCATCAACCTCTGCATAGAAGCAATGTATTGGAAATTCAGATTTCACAACACTTGATTATATGCACCCTGCATCATATCACGAACCCGGAGCGTCGCGTCGCCGGAAACACCAGACGAAACACAAAAACAATGCTGCGCAATGCGCTGGCGGTCGCATCCTTTCTCTTTTTCAGGAGGCCGTTTTCGTTCCTTCGTTTATTCTCCTTCGCCAAGAGAGGGAGTGGGAGAGGCTTCTGGTTGTTTTTGCGCCTTTTCCTTTTATTCACACCTACCTTCGCCTTAAGGCGACATGTCTACGAGTGTGCGACGACCGCCGCGGCGTCTGTGTCCGAAACACCAACTGTGGAAGTTGTGTTTACTCGAGCGGCTCCGGAGAGAATGAACAAGTTAAACAAGTGCCGACTTTCTGCACAATATGGGGACGGCTTCCTTGAAAACTAATAGGGATGAGGAAACCGCGAATGGATGGGTGTAAAAACGACAGCACGAACATATCCCAGACACAGCCCAGTTCGGATACTCGGAGACATAGCACAACCACTGACACCCGTAGATAGTCCCCACGAAAGAAGAGTGAGCCAAAGTCGGTGAAACAGACATTGTTTGCCGCCTCTACTACCGCGGGTGCCGCTTCCTTTATCTTCCGGTTTTGTGCTGACTTGTCCGTCGTCCATTCCTAGTCGTGGACTAAACCAAGCAATTTTTTGTTTGTTTAATGAGTGGCCACGCTGCTTCTTCTTTTTATTTTTTTTTGTCAGCGAGGAGTTTGGACAAAAATACTTCAATATGGCAATTTCTTCATGTCCACAGCAGTGGGTTCTAATTTATATAGTAAAAACAAAAAGTAACTGTAACGGCCTAAACAGTTACAGTTACCCAATATAAAGGTAACAGTGCTACAGTTACAAGTTACCAGTATTAAAGAGTAATGCATTACAGGTAAAAGTTACCAGAAAATGTAACTAGCTACAAGTAACGCGTTACTAGTAACTGGTTACTGCCCAAGACTGCCCAGAGATCGTAGAAGTCGTCCTAGACGTCGTCCTCAAGGTCGTCCTAGAGGTCGTCCCAGATGTCGTCCTCTAGGCATCGGCCTAGAAGTCGTCCTTGAGGTCGTCCTAGATGTCGTCCGTTAGGCATCGTCCTAGCCGTCGTAAAGATAGCAGCTTCATCTTCATGTGAAGTATAAAGGCTCTACAATATTTTTTTTTTTTTTTTTTTTAAAGTTTAGCAGAGTTTTTATTTAGAATTATTTATAGACGCTCTGCATACTTTTGTTTTGCGGGGCTGAGCCTGAACGTATAATCATTGTTTTTCAGGTTCTTTCGGATTATACCACATTCTCACACTGTCTCGTGAAAGTTGTATGATCGGGGTTCCCGCCGTATTTCTGCCGATTCTTGCAAATGTTTTTGCCATCTTCGTGTGGTCCTCGTACACTACTCAACTTTCAAATTTTATCATTTTTTAAACATGCCGCTTATCAGAAACAAGGGCTTTGACTCCGGAGTTCAGATCATTCCAGCGCTTAGGAGAACTCTGTTCATACCAGCTCTTTTGTCACTATGTAAAAGTTTTGTTTGGAATGTACTGTGCTAAGCTTTTTAGAAATCAATATATTGTGGTAGTACATGACGCACCCTTTTTGTTGGTAAAGATGAATGTGTGCTTTGTGTAGCTCTGTATTCTTTGATGGATAAAGTGATTTTGTTGCTTTTGTCTGTTTCCAGTGCATATTAGAAAAGATGATGCCAGCATTTAGCCACAAGAACTTCAGAATTCGTGAGGAAGTCCTCCTTTGCCTCCAGGAGACTGTCTCAACGTAAGGAGGCCATTCTTTTCGCAGCGCCATTGCGGGACTGCAGTTAGCTGTAAGGGTGGGCGTGTGGAATTAAGCGACTTTATTAAAAACAGTGCAAAATGACGGGGAAAGGGTAGGAGCACATAAGACAAACTCTGACTAACAACTGAATGTTTATTCGAAATTCCACATGTAGCAAGTGTCTCGCACATGCACATGCTCACCTAATCGCATATCTTGTGGGGTCATACACGGAGTAAAATCTGTGCTAGGTAAATCCGAACGTTGGCTCGTGTAAACTAGCCGCGTCGCACATAAACACTTGATCGGGAGGGTGACTAAACGCGTATAAAAATATGGTTAATCACTGTTAATGAATTGTAGTTCCCTGCTTCTTCAAATGTACAGATGAGACACTGATTCAGCGATCTTGTTGGCAGGCAAGTATAAGGGCCGCTTCCAACATCTTTTGTTCCAACTTTCCTCCGCTGCATCCTGCCACCCGGGTGTTGTTGATTACAGGGGAACAACCACAGTCTTTGCAGTGTGCTGGCAAGTGAGACCCATAGCCGTTGCTGAGCGAAGCCGCGTGCTCTTGCAGTCTGTCGTTTAAACAATGACTGGTCTGACCAATATACACTCGACCACAGCTCAGGGGAGACCTGTAGACAACTTCACTGGTGCAGGGCACAAAGGGCTTGATGTTCTTCTTGTCACATTTATGTTTTTTCAGGTTTAGTGTTGTTCCTGCTCAACATCGCACACATTTTTGACAGTTTGCAGAGGGGTTGTGAAAACGACGTCAACGTTAAACTCGGCTCCTATGCGTTTCAAGTTATGTGAGACCTTGTGCACGTAGGGAAACACTTTAAACTTCTTTAGCTATTTCCTAATAGCTAAAGATTGTCGGGGTTATTCAGCTTCTTTAGCAAGGATTCAGCCACTTCTTCCAAAAGGAAAGGGGGAAAAACTGCTTGTTTCAGGCGAAGTACCTGACGGTCAAAGCTCTCGTGAACTAGTTGTCCACAGGAGTTTAATAAAGGCGATTAGAGGCACAGTGAGACGATGCCCCTTTTAACCAATTTGAAATGGGCCGAGTCAAAGGGCAAAAGGCCTTTTTTTGTTCATGGCAAGTACATCCAGCATATGTGGTTGGTGGAGTTGAAAGATAAACATATATATTAAAACTGTGAAGATAACTTCCACCAGCAACTTAAGCATTGTTCATGAGTAGGAATAAGACAACCTAAAAAGCAGAAATGTGACAAGGAGCACTCTAAGCACTTTGTGTCCTGCGCCACTGAAGTCGTGTTTAGGATTTCTCTGATCTGTGGTCGAGTGTATAGAGGCCAGACCGGTCGTCGTTTAAACGACAAATTGTGAGAGCAAGCAGCTTCGCTCAGCAATGGATATGGGTCTCACTTGCAATACACTGCCAGGATTGTGGTTGTTACCCCTTATTGGACAACACCCAGATGGCAGGATGCAGCAGAGGAAAGTTGGGTAGGAAGATGTTGCAAGTGGCACTTACACTTGCCTGCAAACGATCGCCGTATCAGTGTCGTGTGTACATTTGACAAGCAGGGAACTGCAATTCATTACCACTGATTAATCATTTTTATACGCATTTCGTCACCCACCTGATTACGTCTTTACGTGTGACGCGGCTGGTTTCCACGAGCCAACATTCAGATTTATACCTAGCGCTGATTTTACTCCTTGTATGACCACACAGGATATATGATTAGATGAGCATGGGCATGTGTGAGACACTGTGTACAAATGAGAATTTCTAATAAACACTCAGTTGTTAGTCAGCGTCCATCCTGCGTGCTACTACTTCTGTCCTGTCCTTTTGTGTTGTTTTTAATAATGTCATTCAGCAACCAACTAGCCCAGCAATCCACCCTTTAATTGTGGAATTCAGTGCCTTCTGTTCATGAAATGATTTTCTTCGCCCTATTGATTTGTTCTGTCAAATTTTTAAACCATTTAGAAACAAATTGCTGGTATTGCAGCCTTTTGAGGCTGTAGGACTTGTAATAGCCTTAGATTTAAAGTCAAACCGATTGTTGCACTAATATTCAAATCAATATTCAAAATTTTTTTAAATATTTCCACAGATTTAGTATTACATCATTTATTTTACTATGCTATTCAAGAAAATGACAAAACTTGTCAACCGGGAACAATCTAGTTAATGGGCAATGGATTGTGCAATCACAGCACTGTATAGAGGTGTGCCCTGTACCTGTACCTTCTAGAGCTGTATACCAATTAGTGAAATCACATAACCAGTGTTTATTTCACTGGTCAACTTTGATTCAAGACTATGGTAAAAGCTAGCTTCCTTTCAGTCATTGCTACCTCGTGAAGTAAGTATACTTTGTGACTAAATTGTGTCCAGATATGTTGAGAGCTTCGATGTGGATTTTTATATACGTGAATGTATGTCTCACTGTATTCTCCAAGTTGATTGCATAGTGTCCAAAGTAGTAGTACATTGAAGCTGGTGTATTTTCCTGCAGGTTTGGCACCCAGGGCCTCTCATTAATCAAGTTCATGCCCCTCATTGCTAAGCTGTTGGGTGATCCAAACTCTCAGGTGAGTTGCAGTTTTATTGGTGGGGCTTATGGTGACCCTGAACGGTTTTAAAGCCTGCACTTTCTATTCCATTGAACCTGTGTGCCTTCACATTGCTGATGCAGTGGTTTCTGTCAGCTACTGGCAAATTTTAAACTGCCATGCCAGTTTAGATGGGGCAGGGAATGAATCAACAACCTCTGTTGGAAAACTGAAAAACCCAAAATTTGGTCTCTCCTTGAATAAGAAAATCCCAAGTTTTACTTGAAAGAACTCATCATGTACAGCTTTATCTTTTGTCAACACCAAATACAGCCTCCGACGAACTGTCCCCAAGGCCGCTTCTTTCTTCGCCACGATAAACCTGGTTTTTTCGCGTCCAACACCAAGAATTGGCATTAAAAAACAATTTGAGAAAAAAAAGAACACCTTTGAATTTTATGAAAAATTAACTCTGAAAATACAGAACCCCAGTTATGATCCAGGAAGGTTAAAAATGAGCGGAGTTGCCTTCCTTTGCAGTTTTTCCTCCCAATTTATGTTCACGATGCACTGTCAACGCCTGTACCTTTGTTGGTTCTCAGGTCCGTGACACGGCTTTCCAAACGCTGGTCTGCATCTACATGCACGTTGGAGAAAAGGTGCGGATGGACCTAGGGAAGAAGTACGACATCCCAGCAGCCAAGTAGGTGCCTTGCCTCACCGCTAGCTGCCGTAATCTATCCCGTCCAAGATCAATTCTGCGGGCCAGCTCATGCCATGTGCGCTTCTGCAGTACTTTTCAACTGTGATTTTGTTGTGACATAAGGAGTGGTCCTGGCTTGTTACAATCTTTAACCAACCACCTTGCGACCATGTTTTTCTTTTTCGGGGGGGTGCCACTTCTGGTTTTGGCACTTGAACATTGATTCCAGGAAGGGTTGGAAATTTACTATTACAAAAATGTCCTGTGTTTGAGAGTAGGCAGAATTTTTTTATTTTGTGATAGCCCATCATTGTTTACAGGTCTGAAATTGGGTTTTTTTTCTTTGTCAGACTCCAAGCCCTGTTTACCAAATTCGATGAAATAAGAAACACTGGACAGCTGCTGCCAACTGCCTCTCTGGAAATTGGTGAGTCTTTTTTGTTTGTGCAGTTTTCTTCCAGGTGCCTCCATTCTCCTGGACCTCTGGACGAGTAGAAAGCTCTCTGCTCTAGTTCGTCCTCCGGCAGTTTTCAAACTTTAGTATGTCTGACTTGTTTCTGCAAGGCTTTTCGGTATCAAAACACTTGGTCATTTAATATTGCCCTCAACTTACAGTAATAAAAAATAAATGGTGATGTACCTTAATTAATTATTGCTTTCTTCGGCGAATTCACCGTTGAAGTCGTTGAAGAATTCAATGGCATTCTGTCGCAACACAATCTTGAATTTTGTCGGCTCACCAATGGCCTGCTGGCCACGAATCCTAAGGCACATTTTTCTTTGTCTATCTAATTTAATAGAACTACAGTTAATGTGAGGATAGACCAGTAAATAAAAACATACTAAACTAATAAATTAAAAAAAAAATGGAAAAAAAAAAAAAAGCGGGAAGGCAGCTTTTTAAGTGAGCCACCATGTTGAACTGCCTCGGCACGTCACCTGCTGTGCATAAAGTTAAGCCATGTGATGCTGAACACTAAAGTCACCTGCTGTGTAAATACATACTGCTTTCTTGGTTTGAGGTGAGTGGTAATTTGCTTCAACTCATTAGAAGCAAATACTTTGTATAGTTGAACTGCATAAACAATGGCTTAATGCCATCGTTATTTATTTATTATTTATTCTTTTTTTTTTTGTACAGACCTGGAAGTTTAGTAAGCGTGTGTAAAGACACCAGCTGTCTGACATGTTTAGTGAGAGGGTGTTCTCTTCAACTTGCGCTGGCTCCCACAGCTGGAAAGAGTCGTTCACTCCTTGTCTAGGTCACCTCCGTGGATTCACTTTCACTCAGAGTTAACGGTGAATGCTGACATCTCCAGTCATATTTTTTCAAGTTCTTTGTTGTCCTTGGCGTGTATCGGCCAGTCTTGGCTCTTCGTGTTCTTGCTAATGGCTATGCGACTGTCGCAGAACGAAAATACTCGTATGCACGTGTCGATGGAACTGCGACTTGGTTATTGAAACCAAAAGAAGCACCTAAAATCGGGGTCCCCGGCTGCGCTCTTTGCTTGCATCAAATGCTTAAACAAATTGCAGAATCTCATGACTTGGATTGAAGCAAATTTAGAATAGCCTATTAATCAATTAAATATTAGAAAATATTCAATATTTGCACAAGGAAGCAACATTTGGGATTTCAACAAATTGCACCTTTGGTAGAAATGTTTTTACAGCGGAGCTGTTAAGGGCTAGGTTCCCCAGGATCGTGTCCGGTACCAAACAAATGTCGGCACAAAACTCTGGACAGCTACCACCATCTATGAATGACTGCAGCAACCAGACAACCGGCTTCCCGTCCTCGCTCATAGATGGCATCAACCTTTCGAGCCTTTCCGCTCTGGTTTTCACAAGAGTAGAAAGGCTTAATTTCTCTAGGCGTGTTGTCCTCAAGGTCGTTCTAGAAGTCGTCCTTGAAGTCGTCTTAGACGTTGTCCTTGAGGTTGTCCGAGAGCTAGTCCTCAAGATCGCCCTAGAAGTCATCCTTACGGTCGTCCTAGAGGTCATCCTTGAGGTCGTCCTAAACGTCGTCTTTGTAGTCGTCCTAGAAGTCGTCATTGAGGTCTTCCTTGAGGTCCTCCTAGACGCCGTCCTCTAGGCGTCGTCCAAGAAGTCGTCCTTGAGGTCGTCTCACCATAGTAGAGCTTCGCTGGTCTTCCTTCTTCACCAAAATGGAAAGGCTGAAAGTTTTCTTTAATCGACTCTGAAATGTTTTTTTTAGGAGGATGATTTTGTTTGTTTCCCAGGAACAAAACTATGCAGATATGTGGAAAATATCTTTTTATGAAATGTGCATAGTGTAACACAGTTATATGAAGTCATACATACTTTATTTCTTTGACTCTTTCTGCACCTTGGTGAAAATTCATGGTTTTAGAGGGATGGTGAAAGCATTTTTCTATTTTCAGAACTACTCATCACAGAATTATAATACATCAAAATGTAGGCCATAAACTTTGCTTTAGTAATAAATAAAAAGGTTTATACTAATGTTTAAAAAAAGATTGTCAAATTGATCCCTGGTGTTCTTCAAAATCAATCCTGGGCCCTCTTTTGTTTTTAATTTTTATAAATAATATAGTGTCCTGGTGTCCAAAGTTTTCCGTTGTTACTTTTTGCCGCTGATATAAAGTTGTCTAAACTTATCCAATCTACTGTGGACTGTGATAACCTACAGCGCGATATGTCTTCCATTTTTCAGTGGTGTGAGCATAATATTTCATTGCTTAATTCTGCAAAAACAAGTGTTATCTTTGTGCCAACGTCATGTGCCTTCTAACTTTACCTATTATTTTGATATCATGCCAATTCAATGTGTGTTTTATGTGAAAGATCTTGGGGTGTTCATTGATAGTGCCTTGTCTTTAAGAAATCACGTATCTTTTGTGGTAGGAAGTTCATCAAAAACGTTAGGAATGATATTGCGCTTGACGCAGAATTTCAGAAAGCCTCATTGATTGTTGCACCTCTTCAAACACTTGGTTAGGTCTCGATTGGAATTTGCTTCAGTAATATGGAACTTAAATATTTAAAACTCGGGCCATGACCACCGAACATGTTCAGAAAAAACTGATTCGTATTGTGTATGATAGATATTTGGAAAGGCGCCTTTATTATGATTATGAATTAATACTAAGGTTATTTTCGCTGGCACTTTTAGTCTGACAGGAGAACTATTCATGATTTTGTATTTTTACATAAGCTTGTTAATGGTGTCTTTGACTTGCCGCCATTGCTATGAAAAGTAAATTCTTATGTTAAAGACCGACGACCAGTTCGCGCTTTCCACTTTTCGCCCGCTTCCTCCTCTCCCACCTACCCTTTCCACCCACGCCCGCCCCTCTTGGTCCCTCCTTTCCATCCTTCGCTTCCCTCGCCCGAAGGCGTGGAGAGGAGGGCCTTCTGCCTTGCAGAATCTCGAGCCTGGTCGTCAACCTTTAACTTCCGTCATACCGGATATCCTGTATGCTTTGACGTTTGTTCATTATGTTTTTACTTCACTGATTACTCGGATTTAGACATTGTATAACAGCATCGCTCCTCCTCACCTCTATTTCTGAACATATATTTCATTGTACCGCCACCGATTAAAAAACCTTGTAATTTACTCACAAGTTTTCTAACTTTCGTAACTTTTGATTATGTTATGATAGCAATTTTTTTTATTTTTTATGATTATGAAGTGCACCAGAGAGAAGACCACGGTGGAGGTCTTTTGGGGCATGAAAATAAAGACCTATTATTATTATCATTATTAGATGCTCCACTTGAAATTTGTGCAAAAGTAAGAACAAAAAGTCTAAACATTTACAACAGTATTGGGTCATTCCATGTGAAACGTCCCAGACGTTGCGCTCGACCATCTCCGATTTCTAGAAAAAATTCATGTGCTTCGGCCACAATGTCCGTAGCCATACCCTAAAATAGTTTTGACGAAAAAAAATTTGTGATGACGTGAGCGCGATTTTAATTTTTGAAAACAGCGTGAAACTAGGCATCACTCAATAATTTACGAAAAATCTGCTTTTTTATGAAATACCCAACAATATTTTTTTCTTAAATTTGCATGGTTGTCGGCTTACAATGTGGTTGAGTTTGTGCAGTTTTGTTTAATTTAAATATTTTAAAAAAATGCATAATTTTATTCAAAAATGAACATTTTTGTTACTTTATTAAAAAAATATATAATTGCCCCCGGGACCTAATATAACTGTTTACTGGTTGCCCTCTAAGTATATAACCTATAAAAAATAGTTTAAACCGCTGAATTAAACACCTTGCAGTAAAACAAAAATCCTGCAATTGCCAAAAAGTGTGTTTTGACGCATTATCAGCCGTTTATTCCACCCTGAGGTGGTCCAACTAAAAATACAAAATATGGTGGGTTTGGAAGAACGATTGATCGTCTTTTGATTCTGAAAGTTTAATCAGAGTAATTATTGTTTAAAGCGAGAAAACAATTTTTGAAGTTGAACTCTCGCACCACTACCCGGCGTCGCTTCTTAACGCCTCTTCGCCGCACAGCACGCCACCTGCGACGATAGCTGAAGCGATTAGGTCCAAAGAAACAACGGAGTTTGCTGCCCGCTTCCCCTCGTCCCTCTTTTCTAGCTGTAAGGGAAGAAACTGCGGGTATCGTGTACTAATCGGAGGTGCCACCAGTGCGTCGCCATATCAGGCACGTTGTGCCCTTTGTACCCGAGGGCGGCTCCTCACACTCCGAAACGCGATGCCTAATGCATTGCGTTTCGGAGTGCAAATTTAAGAAAAAATTATTGTTGGGCATTTCATAAAAAAACAGATTTTTCTTAAATTATTGAGTGATGCCTAGTTTCACGCTGTTTTCAAAAATTAAAATCGCGCTCACGTCATCACAAATTTTTTTTCGTCAAAACTATTTTAGGGTATGGCTACAGACATTGTGGCCGAAGCCCATGAATTTTTTTTTAGAAATCGGAGGTGGTCGAGCGCAACGTCTGGGACGTTTCACATGGAATGACCCTATTAAATCATACTATATGATTTTAAAAATCCTTAGTATACAAAGCGTCCCGTACATATCACTATCACTTGTGCAAGTTAGAGAGCTCTAGCAGGGTACCGTGTTTGACAAGGGCCACCATCGTGCAGAGATTTATTTTCGACAACTCGCCAGCTTGGGAGAAAGCACAAAACGAAATAAAAACCAAAGGTGTGGTTCTTCGGCTATCCACGAGATGACACAACCTTCTAGCGCAGCTAAAGAGCTTTGAGCTGGCCATCCAATTCACGGCAGAATGTAAGATGAACAACACCTTACCGTTTCTGGATGTGCTTTTGAAAAGACAAGGTGAAGAGTTGGAGTTTACAATATACAGGAAGCTGACTCACTTAGGAGGTTCCCTCCGCTCCGGTTCGACTCAAACTACTGAATGAGTCGCTGGGTTTAAA